GCTCGGGGCCTGCTCCCAGACCCCCAGGGTGATGGAAGAAGGCAGGCGCGTGGGACCCGGCCAGTGCCGCTGTCCAGGGCTCAGACCAGGCAGGAATCCTGAGTCTTGCGATTATCAGCCGTGTTTCTTGCACAGCGCGCGCGTCCCCTGCCGCTCTAGGTGCTGCCTGTGCCCGGCACTGGCTCGCTGGCTCTGGACGCACCGTCCCATCCTCTGTCCCCGTGGGTGGTCTCTCACCGAGCATGGCTTTGTTTTTTGACCGGTCTGCACCGTGTGCTGGGAAGAAGGTACCTCCTCCCCGCCCCCACTCTGGTGGAACCGCGCCCTTGCTGGGCACACGCGTGTTGCCGCGTGTCTGACGGCGCAGCGTGCACCAGCCACTTCAGGTTAGTGCTGGCTTGTACACTGAGCGCAGGCTGCTGTTCCTAACATCACTTTAGATTTATTGATTTACTTAAGAAAGAGAGAGATCTTCCATCCACTGGTTCACTCCCCAGGTGGTTGCAGTGGCCAGGGCTGGGCCAGGCTGAAGCCAGGAGCCAGGATCTTCCACTGGGTCTCCCAGGTGGGTGCAGGGCCCAAGCACTCGGGCCGTCTTCCACTGCTTCCCGGGCCGTGAACAGGGAATTCAGTCAGACCTGGAGCAGCCGGGGCTTGGACTGGTGCCCACATGGGACGCTGGCAACACCAGTGACAACCCACCCCCACGGCACCGCACCCCCACGCTGGCGACACCGGTGACAACCCACCCCCACGCACCCCCACGCTGGGCTCAGCCGTGCCCTGGAGCCCAGCTGCTGGTGCAGGTTTGGGGTGTGCGTCTGTTGGTGAGAGTGATGACCGCTGCTTTTCCTTTACTGAAACATCTTTCTCAGATTTGGTATCAAGGTTGTGCTGGCTCATAAAAAGTCTCTGAAAAGGCTTGCATGAGATTGGTGTTACTTCCCCTGAAGTGTTTGGGAGAATTTCCGGCGAAGCCATCTAGGCGGCACGTTTTCTCCACAGGAAGCCATTAAAACTCCAGGTTTAACTCATTTAATTTGGGAAAACGTATCCTTACTTCTTCTTGCATTCCCTTTTTATTTCGTGTCTTTGGGGAGCTGGTCTGTCTTATCTAAGCACCTGAGATATTTTGTTGTAAGATCCTCTGGTGGTTTTTATGTCGCTAGAGCTGCTGTGATTGCATTTCTAATGCTAGTAATTTATGCGACCGTGTCTATCAGTCTTTTGTTGTTGTTGTTTAAAGACTTTATTTATTTGAAAGTCAGAGTTACAGAGGGGGAGAGAGAGAGAGGGAGAGGTCTTCCATCCACTGGTTCACTCCCCAGTTGGTCGCAACGGCCGGAGCTGCGCCGAGCCAGAGCCAGGAGCTTCCTCAGGTCTCCCACGCGGGTGCAGGGGCCCAGGGACTTGGGCATCCTCCACTGCTTTCCCAGGCCACAGCAGGGAGCTGTTGAGAAGTGGAGCAGCCGGGACTCGAACCGGCACCCGTATGGTATGCCGGCACTGCGGGCGGTGGCCTTACCCGCTCTACCACAGCACTGGCCCCTCTATCAGTCTTGATAGAAGCTTCTCAACATTCCTGGACCTCCAGAGAGCCAAATTCTGGCTTGTGAGCTTCATGAGCGAGCTGTCCATCTTCCGTGTCACCGACTTGCTGCTCTCAACGTCTCTCTCTCTCTCTCTCTCTCACACACACACACACACACACACACACCCGGGTTTCACTGCCTGTGTCCTGAACTCCCTGGGATGGGTTCCAGCCTCCCCGGCCTGAGACACCCTGTGCGTCCTCACCAGCCTCGGAGCCTGCTTAGCTGAAGGTTTGAACGTGTCGCGTTTTCACTCAAAACTGTTTCCTGAATCATTTTAGATCCCTTTCTTTGACTCTTGGGTTGTTAAGATTAATTTCCGCCGGCGCCGCGGCTCACTGGGCTAATCCTCCGCCTGCGGTGCCAGCACACCGGGTTCTGTCCCGGCTGCTCCTCTTCCAGTCCAGCTCTCTGCTGTGGCCCGGCAGTGCAGTGGAGGATGGCCCGGGTGCTTGGGCCCTGCACCCCATGGGAGACCAGGAGAAGCACCTGGCTCCTGGCTTCGGATCAGCATGGTGCACCGGCCATTTGGGGGTGAACCAATGGAAAAAGAAGACCTTTCTCTCTCTCTCTCTCTCACTGTCCACTCTGCCTGTCAAAAAAAAAAGATTAATTTCCCAAAAATTTGGTGATTTCTAGTTCTACTGATTTGCTTGTGTATCATCATTCAAGAGGCAGAGAGCGAGAGGGAGAGCTCCGTCCAGTGGTTTCCTCCGCAGGGGTCCTCAGCGGGCAGGTCTGGGCCGGAGCCAGCGGCTGGAGCTCAGTGTGGGTCTTCTCAGGGTGGCGCTGCAGCCGCTGCCCTCCCAGGGAAGCTGCAGAGGGCGGCCGGACACGGACACGGACTCAGACCCGGGCACCGAGATGTGGGGCGCAGGCCCGCGGCCGGCCGGCCCCCAGCCCCGTCTCACCTGGGCCTCTCCCCCCGTTTCCACAGTCAGAGGGCACGGGAGGCGTAACTGAGTCCTGAGCCGTGTTGCACTCGCTCTTCAAGCCGAGTGTTCCGGGGCTCTCACGGAGCCTCGTGGCGTGGTCGCGGGCGGCGGCCTGCGTGTGCCCCTGCGCTTTGGCTGCTGCTCACGTGGTCCCGCTGTGGCTGCTCTCCTCCCGCCGCTAATGAAGATGGTCACATCTCCCTCCAGTTCCGACCAGTGCCCTCCAGTTCCGACCAGAGCCCTCCAGTTCTGACCAGAGCCCTCCGGTTCCAACCAGACCCTCCGGTTCCGAGAGCTTGCACTGAGGCTGCGTGTGGGCGCTGAACGGCACCTCCCTGATTGGGACAGCGCCGCCTTTCTCCCGCGTGTGCCTCGGTCCGCCTGGAGCGCCGCTCACCTGCGCCTGACCCCTCCCCTCCCTATTCTGTCCCCCTGTGTGAGGGCTGTGTGCATGCAGCTTGGCAGTCTGGTGCTTCAGGCAGGTACTAACCAGCCACGCCACGCGCCTCCCCCCTACCCTCCTTGTGCATTTGGTCCATCTTTTTCCTGTGCTTCTGTCGGAAGCCGGAGCTCTGAGCTGGCCGGCCTCTTCCAGCTCGTGTCACGTCTGGTCGCGGGTCCGTCTGCTGCCTCCCTGATTCCCAGGTGGCCCTGTCTGCCCCGGGATTTCCACTTGCTGTGAAGGTACTTCAGAAAGTTTGCAGAAACGTGGGCTCACAGCATAGGTTTATCTTGCCGCAATGTTTTTAAATCCTGCGTAGTTTTTTTCTGATGTGTATTTTCATGAGCTTTTGGAAGAAATATGCATAGAAGTCAAAAAAAAGTTTTTGCACCCAAATGAAATCCTTCCTCCTCACGTTTCATGAACTTTTGGGAGAACTCTGAAACTTCCCATATTTCTGCCTGTTTCCTTGAGACTGTTTATCGTGGTTATTTCACTCCGTCCTCCTCTGCACGCAGAAGCAAACCACACCCTGTGTGCACTGTGCATGAGCCGGGGCCGCGTGCAGCAGCGGTGGCTGTGTGGGCTCAGTTTGCCTCACGTTTGGAGCAGCCAGCCGTGCGTGAGGCAGAGAGCCGCCGGGGGCTCAAACCCCAGGGATGAGGGACGCTGATGGGCTGAGCCCCCCTCAGGGCTGCATTTGCTCCTTGGAGCATTCGTCCATGTATCGTGTGGGGCACTGACACAGGGCAGGGGGCAGAGGCTCAGGACAGTGGGGTCCAGAGCTGAGTCCCAGGCGCCCATCAGCTCTCTCTCGCTGCTGGACCTAAGGGTTTTACAGCAGTGATCTTGGCCCACAGTCCTGTGCATCCAGAACGTGGACTGGGCTCAGCTGGAAGGTTGTTCTGCCGGCGTTGCTGGGGCAGTGTGTGCGGCTGCAGTCTCAACATGGCGCCCCCAGGGTGGAAGCTCTAAGAGGCCTCACTCACGCCTCTGGGGTGGCGCCGGCCGTCGGCTGGAGCCCCCGGCTCTCCTCGGCGAGCCAGCTCAGGTTTGTTCCCCTGGTCCCATCTCAGTGGCTTTGCGTCACACACAGTGTCAGTTCCCAGCATCCTCGCTGCTGTGCCAGTCATAAGGTCGAGGGGAAGCCAGCGGCAAGGTGTGCAGTGCGTTTAAGTGTTGCTGTGTTCCTTGCTTTTCAGTCTCTGTGAAGTCACGTGGAGCGCTCTGGCGGCCTGGGGACGTCACCTCCCTGTGGGGCCTGCGGGACACCTCGCTCTGGTCACTTGAGAGGCCCCTGCCCGGTGGCTTCAGAATCCCAGTGCTGCTGGGTGGTGCCATTGGCCGAGCTCTCACAGAGCAGGGCCTCGTCACCCACGATGCAGCTCGGGAGCCCACAGAGGGCACGAAGGGCCGGGGCTGGCCGGCAGCACCTTGTCCCCGCAGTCCCTGCATGTCCCGGACGTCTCGGATGCCCTGGACTCCACTGTCTTTCTCGCCGCCCCGTGAGCCTCCCCCCTCCCCCACGCCTGTGCTCTGAGGGGCAGGCGCAGCCCTGAGGGGCTCACGTCCATCCAGCGTCCCTCAGCCCTGGGCCTGAGCCCTCCGCGCCGCTCCTGTGGCGTGTTAGCGCCCAGTGTTTGCGCAGGAGGCAGAGCCAGGGGCAAGCTGACCCCGGCTCCCGGTGCTGGGCTCTCGCCCCAGCCTCTGCCCCGCACACGCCTGTGTCTCTCTTGCATCTCCTTCCTTCGTGATCTTTCTATGAAGGAGCTTTAGAGGCCGCGGCCGAGCGGGGGGGGGGTGGGGCGGAGGACGCAGAAGGTCGGGCGGGGGGGCGTCTCAGACCCTGCCCCAGGCCAGAGGCGCCACCACGTGAGCCCAGAGGCTGGCCCCCACCCTCGGCCGCGCGGCAGGCCATATTCCCCCCGGGACGAGGCTCCTCTCCCGCCGCAGCCTCGCAGCTCTCCACCCTGTTTCTGGAAGGCTCCCAGGGTGCAGCAGCACTCACGCGCTCCTCTCCGTCCCCGCATGGCTGCGGGAGCACCATCGGGCCACCGTGAAGGTCATCCGGCGCATGCAGTACTTTGTGGCCAAGAAGAAATTCCAGGTGAGTCCCTGTCAGCCGGACAAGCCCTTCCTGGGCGCACCCCTCCACAGCAAGCGCCCCGCCCCCGCAGGCCCTCCCCACCCCACCCAGGACAGCCGAGCCCTCCTAGGGGCTTCCCCCAGGCCCCCCAACCCAGGACAGCAAGCCTCCTAGGGGCTCCCCTCCCCCAGCAAACGCCCCACCTGGAGGACCTCCCTCCCCCACCCCCAACAGCCAGGGGCTTCCCCCGGCCCCCCCCAGGACAGCTGAGCCTTCCTAGGGGCTCCCCCACCCAGCCCAAACCGACCTGAGCCCTTCCTCTGGCACAGTAAGAAGGCAGCAGCCTGGCAGGCTCTGGCTTGCTCAGACCCCGCCCCCGCCCCCGCCC